CCAGACTTGAAATTTTAGCCTCAGACAACTTAGAACTACTCTGCCTTTAGTCCGACCTAAAAGTAATACATAAAATTATCTATTGCAATGTCCTACCCACCAATGACTACTTCAACTTCAACCACAACAATATATGAGCACACAATAGATACAAACTCAGAGTAAACCACACAAAACTCAATGGTAGGAAATACAACTTCAGCAACAGAATGGTCAATGTCTGGAATAGTCTACCTGACTCTGTGGTTTCTTCCCCAAACCCCCAAAATTTTAACCTTAGACTTTCTACTGTTGACATCATCCCATTCCTAAGGGACATGCATAAGCACACCAACATGCCTATCGTCTGTCCTAATATTCCCTTTTATTCATATCCATTTCATGTTTATACTTATATCTATTAACTAATACAGGTGAAACTCAGAAAATTAGAATATCATGCAAAAGTTCATTTATTTCAGTAATGCAACTTAAAAGGTGAACCTAATATGTGAGATAGACTCATTACATGCAAAGCAAGATAGTTCAAGCCATGATTTGTCATAATTGAGTTGATTATGGCTTACAGCTCATGAAAACCCCAAATCCACAATCTCAGAAAATTAGAATATTGTGAAAAGGTTCAATATTCTAGGCTCAAAATGTCCCACTCTAATCAGCTAATTAATCCATAACACCTGCAAAGGGTTCCTGAGCCTTTAAATGGTCTCTCAGTCTGGTTCAGTAGGAATCACAATCATGGGAAAGACTGCTGACTTGACAGTTGTGCAGAAAACCATCATTGACATTGACATAAGGAGGGAAAGCCTCAAAAGGTAATTGCAAAAGAAGTTGGATGTTCCCAAAGTGCTGTAACAAAGCACATTAAGAGAAAGTTATGTGGAAGGGAAAAGTGTGGAAGAAAAAGGTGCACAAGCATCAGGGATGACCGCAGCCTGGAGAGGATTGTCAGGAAAAGGCCATTCAAAAGTGTTGGGGACTTTCACAAGGAGTGCACTGAGGCTGGAGTCAGTGCATCAAGAGCCACCAACACAGATGGATCCTGGACATGGGCTTCAAATGTCACATTCCTCTTGTCAAACCACTCCTGAACAACAAACAACATCAGAAGCATCTTATCTGGGCTAAAGAAAAACAGAACTGGTCTGTTGCTCAGTGGTCCAAAGTCCTCTTTTCTGATGAGAGCAACTTTTGCATCTCATTTGGAAACCAAGGACTCAGAGTCTGGAGGAAGAATGGAGAAGCACACACTGCAAGATGCTTGAAGTCCAATGTGAAGTGTCCACAGTCTGTGTTGATTTGGGGAGCCATGTCATCTGCTGGTGTTGGTCCACTGTGCTTCAGTAAGCCCAGGGTCAATGCAGCCGTCTACCAGGAGATTTTGGAGCACTTCATGCTTCCTTCCGCAGATGAGCTTTATGGGATGCTGACTTCATTTTCCAGCAGGACATAGCATCTGCCCACACTGCCAAAAGCCCCAAAACCTGGTTCAATGACCGTGGGATTACTGTGCTTGATTGGCCAGCAAACTTGCCTGACCTGAATCCCATAGATAATCTATGGGGCATTGCCAAGAGAAAGATGAGAGACATGAGACCCAACAATGCAGAAGAGCTGAAGGCCGCTATTGAAACATCCTGGTCTCCCATAACACCTCAGCAGTGCCACAGGCTGATAGCTTCCATGCCACACCGCATTAAGGCAGTCATTGCTGCAAAAGGGGCCCAAACCAAGTACTGAGTACATATGCATGCTTATACTTTTTAGAGGTCCAATATTGTTCTATGTACAATCCTTGTTTTATTGATTGCACGTAATATTCTAATTTTATGAGATTGTGGATTTGGGGTTTTCATGAGCTGTAAGCCATAATCATCTCAATTATGACAAATCATGGCTTGAACTATCTTGTTTTGCATGTAATGAGTCTATCTCATATATTAGTTTCACCTTTTAAGTTGCATTACTGAAATAAGTGAACTTTTGCACGGTATTCTAATTTTAAGAGTTTCACCCTGCTCGACAAAATAAAATAATAAAAAATGCTCTCCCAAACTAAAACAAAAGTTGACCATCAGCATTACTAAATGTTTAGAATGTTGGACCAGGACCAACTCCCACTCTCTTCTTGGATGTGAAATTAAAAGGGGATCTAGAAGTCAACTCCTTTTCCTCTAATCTTCACAGGATCACTATGAAGATAAAATCGAGGAAAGGGAGAGTCTTAGATACGGTCCAAGATTCTGTAGGAAACGTTAGGCCGCCAAATGTAATAAATCAACTGGATTCTCTAAAAGAAAAACAGTTTGTGCTGAAATAACCTGGACAAATAGCCAAATTTTGTGGCTGGTTTAAACTTGACCCCCAACAATCCTGGTTTAACCTTGACCCCCAACAATCCTCTTCCTTCCTTCCTTCCTTCCTTCCTTCCTTCCTTCCTTCCTTCCTTCCTTCCTTCCTTCCTTCCTTCCTTCCTTCCTTCTCAAACTTTAAACTTCCAGAATGAAGCCATCTTTTTGGCTTTGTCATTGGAGAAAAATAGATCATTATTGGTACATGTTTTTGATAGTAGTCAATATACCAGAAGATGGGCCAGGCTCTGTGTCCTGTTGTCTGCCAAGAATCTCCACTTCAGCATCCTGGTTTTACATTTAGGCACTCTGACTCCCAAGCTATTCAGGGTCCACCAGGTAGCATACGGGAAGTCAGATCCTTCAGACATATCCTCCTTTAAAATTACTCCTTGTTCGATGACCTCCTTCCTCCACCTTTTCATTTGATTTTGATTTTGTGTACCCTCAAAAAAGTTTGTTCTTGCCAAAAAGCTGTTCCTGCATCTGAGTCGGTGGGTTTGGGGTATATGTTCATTCAGAGGATGCCAAGGATCATTCTCTTGCCTTAGTTCTCTGGGCATCTGCTGCTACTTCAACAATCTTGCTGTATAGAATTGACAAAAACCTGCCCCAACTCTTTCTACAAAATGGAGACAGGTACAAATCAGATTGTCCTTTTCACAGTGAGAATTACTGGAATTTGCCGTCCCAGATTGAAAACGCTTCCACAAATAATGGTCTCATGCCAGAATCAATCATTACAATGTGAATTTGTCCTCATTTTGCATTTTTCATCAGAACTCTAAAAAAGAAAGTTTTTTTCCTCATTAGTGTAATTGCTTTGATGTTTGGATGACAATAAGAGCCTGAAAAAACCAGCTCTTCTCTTCCAGGAACTCCACAAGTAGGAGCATGGGGTACAGAAAATTTTCCAAGGCAATCCCTATCAAATATTTCTGATTTTTTTTTTAAGGAAGAATCATTGCCAGCTACTAAAGGTAGAATGCTTTGATCTAGAAGTTAACCTCATTTGGCTTTAGCATTAACAATGTTAATACTAAATGGAGGTAGGCTCTGTTATCACTCCAAAAAATAACAGCAGAGTTAAAATCCGAAAGCCAAATGGAAGTGAAGACTTTTAGATGAGCGTAACAGATTGTGAGATAAAAATTTTTGAGGATCTAATATTTCAGCCCATCAATATGATTCAGGTCAGTATTTTGCCTTGGGTTAGTTCATTTTACAAGTTAAACCTAGCAGAAAAACACTGCCAGAACCGCACTCAAAACTCCTGAGAGAAGTTTATGAAGCTAAAACAGAATCATTGCTAATCCTCATTAATCCACATGCAGACATACATATACATATACATATACATACACACACACACACACACACATATATATATACATATACATACATATATATGCTTTCTTAAGTTTTCGTGGGTACTTGCATGTATGGTATTCAGCTTTGTTCGGGTATTTTCCCACGTCATTATAGTTGTGCTTTCAAAGTTGTAGCAGCGTTTCAGCAGAATCTCATCTGCCATCATCAGGCTTCTGTATTGTGTTCATCTGTGAGTCAGACTTTCACAGCCGTTTCAGTTTTAAATTTGGGGCTAGCCTACTGCTGTGCCAGAATGGTTTTTTCTTCCTCCTGATTGGTTGGGAGTCTTGGTCTGTGTTTATTGGTCTTGGAGTTTGCTGTGTTCTGCTTGATTGGTGTTTCTAATACCTTCTCTCTGTTTTGTAGCTTTTTTTGTCTTGATTGGCTGATGTTTCCTGTATTGGAGGCTTTTAGTGCAGCTTGGCTCCGAGTAAATGGACAGCTATCATTTATTAGGAAGCTAGGTTTCATCTGGGTGCTTGGTTGGGGTGTGTTTGAGCTGGAGGTATCGGGGGGGGGGTGTCTGTTTGTGCCTGGGTGTTTGCCTGGCCAGGTGCCCAGGTGTTTGCCTGACTCACCAACTGAGTGAGAAACAACCAACTGAGAAAGAAACAACCACAAGAAGAGGATTTGTCTTCAACTGCCTATACTGTTAGGAAATATTTTTCTTGTGGGGCTAGGGGACATATAGCTAAATTCTGTAAGAAGGGAAAACAACAAAATACTAGTAAACACCAGAAGGTCAAAAAGAATGTTAGTTTAGCTATGTCTAGCAATTACCTCAATAAATCACTAAGGTTTATACAATAGCAATAGCAAATTGGACTTATATACCGCTTCACAATATTTTACAGCCCTCTTTAAACAGATAACAGAGTCAGTCTCTTGCCCCCCAACAATCTGGCTCCTCATTTTACCGACCTTGGAAGGACAGAAAGCTGAATCAACCTTGAGCCAGTCAGGATTGAACTCTTGGCAGCGGGCAGAGTCAGCCTGCAGTACTGCTTTCTAACCACTGTGCCACCATGGCTCATATAAACCATTTGATGCCCTCTTTATACCGTTAACTGTTTCAAGTCCAACATGTACTTTTCATTCATGAATAATCTGCAGTGCTTGAAATGTTCTTTTTTAGAATCGGTCTTGACTGCAAGCAAAGGGAAGAGCCAACTCTGTTTTGTTCCACATCACCAAGCAAAGTCCCTGCAGTGTTTTGTGGATACAGGGAAATGTTTCATCAGAAAGTAACCTCTTTTTTTTTTCTTTTTCCTTTGGAAGGTTTTAAGCACTCTGACCATGACATCAAGCAACATCTCCGGAATCTATTACTGTGTGGCTTCCAACAAGTTGGGCATCGAGAAGAGAAGCATCAGGTTCTATATCACAGGTAAAGAATGTGCATCACCCCCCGAGGCCCAGAAATATCTGGTGGAAGCACAGAAAATGCAGCCTGCAATGATTTTCATGGGGAGCAGGTCAAAAAAGGCAAGATGGTGGCTATCATCATGAAATCAAAACTCCTTTACAAACAGATAGATAGTTTTTTTTTCTTTTAATGCCCCCGCGATCTCTTGCATCGGGGTGCAGTTGGGGAGACCAAATGAAGCTTGAGTATTTTATTGGCCGGATGCCCTTCCTGATGCCTATTTGGAGTTCGCAGCAGACAATATTAATTTGAATCCAATGAGAGAAATACCTGCCGCTACTAGGATTAAACCTCACAGCCTCCTATTTGTGAGGCAAGAGCTTCACCTCTAGGTTACTGTGCCACTCAAGATAGAGAGATAGAGAGATAGATACTGTAAACAGATAAGAAATGCTCTCCTCTCCTTTTTCTCCTCCTCCTCCTCTCCTCCTTCCTTTCTTTTCCTCTTCTTTTCCTCTTTCTCTCCCCTCCTCTTCTTCTCCTCTTCTTTCCTTTGCCTCTCCTCCTCCTCCTCCTCCTCTCTGCCCTCCACACCAAAGAGCACTCCATATTTTACAACTGCTTTTGCATTTCTGATGTGAGCAGAAGCGAGTTAACTAGGTCTTTCCAATCCTCTAATGCTGCTCTCCGTGCCTCCCTTCTGTAGAGGGCGGGGTGGGAAAGACTCTTTGCTCAGGGGCTCCCCTTCTGGTTTGGGGGCTCTTGAAAGCCAGCCCTTGAGGCCCACTGCAGGCCACGCAATGGGCTGCTCTAGCTCAACAACACTTACTTTGGAAGTTGTATCTACCACGCAGAAGAGCCTTCTGCTAAACCACTTCCTTATTTGTCACCATTTTGTGGAAGTGCCCACGACATGTTCTCCAACTGTTCTCCACTGTTCAGGTACTCCTCGACTTACAATAGTTTATTTGGTGACTGGTTAAAGTTACGACAGCACTGAAAAATTTGTCTTACGGCCATTTTTTCACAGTTACGTCTTTGCAGCATCCTTTGATCACGTGATCAAAATTCAGATGCTTGGCAACTGGTTCATATGATCCCCTGGGGTGACTTTCTGACAAGCAAAGTCCTTGAGGAAGACAGATTCACTTAACAGCTAACTTAACTACTGCAGAGATTTGCTTAACAACTGTGGCAAGAAAGGTCATAAAATGGGGCAAAACTCACTTAGCAAATGTTTCACTGCATAACAGACACTTTGGGCTCCATTGTGGTTATAAGTCGAGGACTACCTGTATTTTGAAGCCTCCTTCTCAGGGGTGGAAACAAGGAAGTCCCCCATCTACTCAGCTCAGAGGTGGTATTCAGTAGATTCTGACCAGTTCTGGAGAACCAGTAGCAGAAATTTTGAGTAGTTCGGAGAACCAGAAAATATCAATATCTCTCCTCTGCCTCCCGAGTCCCAGCTGATTGGCTGGCTCTCCTTTTGTTGCCCTGCACAGGAGAACAGAGCTGGAAAGCAGGTTAGTGGCATGGGGAGGGAATGGGGATTTTGCAGTATCCTTCCTCCTGCCACGCCCGCCATGCCACGCCCACAGAACCGATGGTAGTTTTTTTTTTTTAATCCCACCGCTGACTCAGCTCCACCTGGGTCCAAATGATTGGCCTCCTTCTCTCTGCTGTTTCTTGCAGACATGCAATCCAGCCTAGAGGCCAACTCCCAAATGACAGCTATTGTGACCAGTCACGTCCAGATGACCTGCAAGTGCTCGAAGTACCTTTACGATCACCTCACCTGGTATGACCCCACCTTGCAGGAAGTCCCCACCTCTCTCACCCAGGAGAAGGTGGACAACTATACCATCTCCTTAGTGCTGAACATCCATAATGTCTCCCAGGCTCATGCAGGGCTTTACAAGTGCCGAGCCTCAAGCTACCACAACCGCACTAAGCAGCTGGAGAAAAGCACCATGCTCAGCATAAAATGTAAGAATGCCAAAACCTGCCCCATCGTGCTCTTGGCCGGCATGTGGCCTATATTTTCTCTATTATAGTATTTTTCAGCCTGGGCAACTCTTAAGATGTATGGACTTTAACTCCCAGAATTCTGGCCGGGGAATTCTGGGAGCTGAAGTCTGCACATCTTAAAAAGTTGCTGAAACTGAGAATCTCTGCTTTAATATATGGGCTCCAAACATGGCAACTTTTAAGACTTGTGGACTTCAATCCCCAGAAATCCTGAGACAGCCATGCTGGGTGAGGAATTCTGGGATTTGACGTCCATAAAGTTGCCAGATTTGAAGACCTCTGCTCTAAGAGAATGCTGTTTTTTTCTAACATTTCCATCATACGGACTTATTTATGAGCAGTTTTGAGTTACAGCATTGCAAAATTCCAAACAAGGCAATTTCGGCAATATTCCAACTTATATGCAGCTATTATTTTGGCAATATTCCTATTTACATAACGGGACAGCCTTTGCAAAATTGATCCTCAAATTCTAGCTATCTCCATGTGTTTGGATAATTAGGCAGAAACATACCAATCAAGCAAATTTACCATCATTAATTTCTGGTAGGAAGTCAGATGCAATTAGTACTAGAGATGGAATCAAATCAGTAGAAATGATAGAATTTCTTCAACTTGTGAAGAACAAAGAAATAAAAGGAAAATTTTCTAGAAAGAAACGATGTAAGTCAGTTATGTTAGTTTTAAAAAATCAGATAGAACAGGATTAATTTGGTGAACAAAATATCTCATCAGAAGGCCCAGGGAACCACGGACATTTGAGAAGAGACACAATTGGGAGAAGCAAAACCTGCCTTGTAAAGTTACTTTCATTCTGAAAGTTCATAATTAAACTGAGATGAGTCATTATTTTTTAAAAAACCCACAATTTTTACTCACCACACGTTATTTTTGGGGTCAGGATTGGAGAGGGGAATGGGGTCCCAGATTTCATTCCTTAATGGGGAGAAAAGGAAAAAGCATAGATGTTGAGCAGATATTATAAATTGAATTGGTATTTAGCTTTGGAATCTTGAGGACTAATAACTTTTGGAACATTTTATGGTAGAGGAAGAGGAGGAGCTTGTTCATTTTCATAGTAACAATTTAATTTTTTTTTCTAGGCAACATTTACTTTTAAATATCTGTGGTGTCCAAGCAGAGTTGATTTGATCTTTATAATTTTCTTATTTTCTTTTGTTCAGGGTTGCCTCGGTGACCACAGGAGTGCAAAGCTTTTGGTGTTGAAATCTGTCATTTTCCCTTTGTTTGCAGTTAAGACGGTGCCTTACATTATGGAGAACTTTACCGACTTGGAGGTTAATGTGAGTGGGACCATAGTTCTGGAGTGCAAAGTCAATGGCATCCCCAAACCTGCTATTGCTTGGCTGAAAAATGGCCACCGCATCGCCCCTGCTTCAGGTGAGCCTCCCGAGGCGGATGCTTCTAGTCTTGCTTCTTTCTTTCTAGGAGTGGAAGTCCACGAGTCTTAAACTTGCCAAGTTTGGGGACCCCTGCTCTAATACACGATGCACTGAAAATAAAGCTCCCTTCTCCCCTCTGTCCCGCATCCCCTTCCTTCTTCCAGGAATTTCCATGGAAAACAACACTTTGGTGATTGAACGAGTGAAGAAGGATGATGAGGGTCATTATGAATGCCAAGCGATCAACGAGATGGGCCAAGACAGCACTCGAGCATTTATTAAAATAGAAGGTGAGAGGTGCAAGACGAAACGTTTTGTCTCGAACAGTTTATGCTGGGACTACAAACGCAGAGGTGGGTATTCAGCAGGTTCTGACCAGTTCTGCAGAACCAGTAGCGGGAATGTTGAGTAGTTCGTAGAATCGGCCAATCCCACCTCTGACTGGTGGCAGCCCCCATCTATTCTTTGCCTACCAACTCCCAACTGATCGGCTGGGTCTTCTTTTGTTGCCTTGCACAGGAGAATGGAGCTGGAAAGCAGGTTAGTGGGGTGGAGAAGGAATACCTCATGACTTTTAACTGTTGTTAAACAGCCCAAAGCTATCAAATCCAGGGATGGTTCATTGCAAAGGAAGCTTGATGGAGTGGCTTAATGGATCTGGAGTCAAAATCTTCTCATGTGTGTCTTTTTCAGGCTCCGAAGAAAAATCCAACATAGAAGTTATCATCTTGGTTTGCACTGGTTTAGCAGCCACTCTCTTTTGGCTCCTTCTGACCCTCTTCATACGAAAACTCAGAAAAGTAAGTTTGATCCTCATGTTTTAGGCTTAGAAATGAATCTAGATGCTGAAAGAACTAAAGCCATTCCGTAGTCAATTTCTATAGTGCCACGAATGACAGAGAAAAATCTTCCTTCACCTACAGCTGTTTAGTCCTGCAGAACCAGCTGAAGGCAGCTTCGAAATCATGTGATTCGGGGGCGGGGGTGAGATGGCTACTTTGATGATTCAAACAGAGGCAGTTTGTCCATCTCTCACATTTTTGAAAATACAGGTAGTCCTGTAGACAGTTCATTTTGTGGCCCTTCAAAGTTAAAACAGCACTGAAAAAAGTGACATGATCATTTTTCACGCTTACAACTATTACAGAATCCCCATGATGACAAGATCAAAATTTGGCCGCTTGGCAACTGACTCATAGTTATGACAATTGCACTGTCCTGGGATTATATGATTCCCCTTTGTGACTTTCTGACCAGCAAAGTCAATAAGGGAAGCCAGATTCACTTAACAACCATATTACTAACTTTAACAGTTACGGTGATTCACTTAATAACTGTGTTAAGAAAGGTCATGGGGCAAAAATGGGGCAAAATTCACTTAACATATATTTCACTTAGCAACAGAAATGTAGTGTTCAGTTGTGGCTGTAAGTCAGGGACTACCTGTACCACTTCTGAAAGTTTTGGAAGTCTTTTTGGGAAGAGAATTGTCTCCCAAGTGCAAATTCTACATCTCTGTCATTTCTGAGCTCTACTTGCAGGGATTCATTTCCCGAACACATCCTTCTGCTAACCCTTGTTCGGTGGGTTAATCAGTTCCTGACTCTGTCAACAGCAGGGTGAAAGTGAAAGTCCAAGCAAGGCTGGAATAGAATGCCAACATGTCCAGTTGGCTGGAAATCCATTGAACTTGCTATAGATGACAAGGCAAGCCTATACAGTCCTTGCGCATCATGTAATTGTAAAAAGAATGATGGTGAATGAAAAGGAGTGGAACATGGTCTTCATGCTTCTTGGGAGGAAGAAGAGCCATCTCTCCAAACCTTTGGAGGGGATGAAGCTCCTGCCTTTTGATTGACCTCATTCTCTGTTCATCGGCTCCATCCATCTTCTTCCAATTCTGATCTTAGGGAGTTTCTTTTTTTCTTTCAGCCGGATGCCACCGATATTAAAACTGGATATTTGTCCATCATAATGGACCCAGAGGAGATGCCCCTGGATGAGCAGTGCGAACGTCTACCTTACGACAGCAACAAATGGGAGTTCCCAAGGGATCGGCTGAGGCTGGGTATGTGGGATCTTGGGAAGCTTCTGAGTTGGGGGGTGTGTGTGTGACCTTGAATGGAATGAGACAACTTGGCATGACCAACTCGCCGCAGCCAACTCACCCCTGGAGAACTCCCTGTGGGACAATTCAACAATTCAATTTAAGTATTTAAAATAATTCAAACGTTACTTTAGCTTTTGTCATTCACATTTCATTTTGTTCCCTCCTTTTGCATCCTTTCTTTAATGATTCCGTTCCACCATTTCCTTGGTATTAGCATAACTCTAGTTCTGTGGCAAGTTGTCCCAGAGAGAGTAACTTGGCCACAATGAGTTGGCTGTGCCAAGTTCTCTTTGACTTGACCTTGAATAGTGCTGGATTGCTGCCTAAGTCTCCCTTCCAAGAATTCCTAGCAACTCTGCTGGCTGGCAATTTGCAGTTGTAGTTGAACACATCTGGGATTGATTTGACAACTAATAGTCTATCTGTACGTCATTGGATTCAGCACAATGATAAAGACTTGGATCCATTGTTTACAGGAGAGGTGGTCAGCCAGATGATTTCCAGATGTTTTGCATGAATGATGATGGGAATTGTCATCCCAAAACATTTGAAAGAGACCGTGTCATCTGTCTCTGTCTAAGGGATGTCTTCAGCTTCATGCAGAATAGATTTGTTAGACCTCATCTCTGTCTTGAAGGACATTGAATAAAATTCCTTTCCCTGCTAGAGCTGAAGATTGGCAGGGAGACTGAGATAGAGATGACAAGGTACAGGTAGTCCTCGACATACAACCACAGTTAAGCCCAAGAGTTCTGTGGTTAAGTGAGATATTTGTTAAGTGAATTTTGCCCCATTTTACGACTTTACTTGCCACAGTTATTAAGTGAATCACTGCAATTGTTAAAGTTAGTAACATGGTTGTTGAGTGAATCTGGCTTCCTTTATTGACTTTGCTTATCAGAAAGTCACAAAAGCTGATCACATGATCCCAGGACACTGCAATCGTCATAAATATGAACCAATTGCCAGGCATCCAAATTTTGTTCATGTGACCATGGGGATGGTCGTAAGTGTGAAAAACAGTTGTAAGTCACTTTTTTTCAGCGCCATTGGAGCTTTGAACTGTCACTAAACAAATTTTTGTAAGTCAAGGACTACCTATATCTATTTCATATAGATAGTCCTCACTTAACAACCAGATGCTTAGTGACCGTTCAAAGTTATGACAGATCACAACGGTCATGTGATTACATTTTGGGTGCTTGGCAACCAACTCTCATTTATGGTTGTTTGCAGCATCCCATGGTCACATGACCAAGGGTTTCTTTCTTTTTTTTTTGCCAGTTTTGAGCATTTACTTTCAGGTAAAACGCATCCGTTGAGGAAAACTAACATCCACATTCACTGTGGCAATTGCTTAATGGCTTCTGCAAAATTAATCAGGCATGCTCATGTGATGACCTGCTTAATGACCACCATGATTGACGACCATAATTCTGGGTTTAATTTTGGTCATAAGTCAAAAGTCGAAGACTACCTGGCCTCGTTGCCCACTTTTCTTTTTTTAAATGAAATTTTAGTGATGTGTTTTCTATTTCAAGCACAAATTCAGTCTCTTACTTTGGTGAACAATTCATGTATTCATAAATCGAAAGTCATTCTTTCCAGCCAGAGTGAACCTGATATGGGTCATAAAGTTTTTATGAAGTATCTCCAAATCCCATAATATTCTGCAGAGTGCAAAAGGCTAAGAATAATTTTTCAGTCATTTATGGTTCACTAATTGTAACACAAAGATTAATCCTGGGATTTTATCCAATCCAGCAGTCTCTCTTTTTCAAAAACACCACTTCTTCTCAATGAAATGTCAGCTTGCTATAATACTTTCCCATTGTTAAGCGTCCTTAATATGTTAATACTTGGCCCACGAATTTACTATTCCCAATGGATGTAAAAACAGTTTAGATCTACCTGATTACCAATCTTTGGTAGGAGGAAGAAGAGGAGGACTAAAAACAAAATTATTTCACTGAATAATAAAGGTTGGGGGGTGCATGCAAAGCTTTTCAGCAATGCACAATTTTGCAAGCTTTTCTGAATTTTGGAAATGATTCTGGTTTTTATGTTCCCTGAAATTTACGAACCTTTGATTGTGTGTCTTTTTCTCTCTGTGTTTTGTATTACTTCATATGTTTATAAATTCAGTTTATACATATGTTCTAACATGTGGCGCAGAGTTTCTGCTGCATGTTATCGGGACTCTAATAGTTCGCAAAAAAACCCAAATGGAATGGATTCTCTTGCATGCATTTTTTACATCAATTTTCTTTGCAAATTCAAAGAAAGTACAGGCTGGGCTGTTGGGAGCAGAACCCATCTTTCTGAGCTTCCTTCCTCCCTTCCTTTTCTGGAAAATATTGACTGTTTGGTTACAAAATATACCGATGAACCTTCAAAAAGAAATATTCAAAGGCAAAAAACCTAAGAAATTTTGGGGAGAGCATTCTGCCATGTTGTTGGCTTCCACAATCTAATAATCATCTGAATTTTTTTAAAAAAATCCATTTTATTATGCAACCTATTAAAAATGCATACAACAGCAGGGAATGATCAACACAATCTCAAAATTAAAATATAGAGTAATGAAAAATAAGGAAAAAAGGAACAAAGGCAAGTCATGCCTGGATATTATGATGTTTACATCTTAATGATGTTTATATCACAATGTTTCCTTCCTTCCATCTTTGAATAAACAAGGATGATTTTCTTTTCCCCAGCATGATTAGAGATTTATATTTGAAAGTGAGACATCTTCAGAAAAAAAATGTCAAGGGTTATTTTTGCAAAAGCAAGAATCAATGCTGCGAAACAGAGGGGGGTGGAAGAAGCAATAAATAGTGCAAAACAAGTGGAATTAGAGGAATCTTTTTCACTTTGTAAATCTGTTTTTGCAGAACAAGCTTCTTTTATGCTAGAACTGGAATGCTGCAAAGCAGGATCCTCCGTTGGTTTTGCTACACCCAAACTTGCTTCGGAATGGGACAACTCACTGAGCGATAACTCACCACAGGACAATTCAATTATTCAGTTTAATGATTTAATTTTTTAAAAATGTTTGTCATTCACATTTCATTTTGTCCCTCCTTTGGCATCCTTTCTTTAATGGTTATATTCCATCACTTCTTCAACCTTAGTGTAACTCTTGCTCTGCGGCGAGTTGGCCATGGTGAGGGGTCTCAGTGAGTGTTTGTCCCAGGCCGGCTTCCTTCTCTTCAGTGCCTGGGGTTGTGGGTGCTGCCCGGGCTTACTCTTTCCTCTTGCTTCTCTAGGTAAAACTCTGGGTCATGGTGCTTTTGGCAAAGTGGTGGAAGCATCTGCTTTTGGCATAGATAAATCGTCAACCTGCAAAACAGTGGCTGTTAAAATGCTTAAAGGTACACTTCTCTCAGACTCCTCAACCGTTCCTTCGAAAACCCAAAGCCGATTGTGTCGCTTGTGTCACAGAAACATTGCAGTTGAAAATAGAATAAGGAAGGATGGTGTCTGTTTTATTATTCTTCCCTCTCTCTTCCTTACGGTAACTCTGGAGTGGAATGGGCAATATGGCCTCTGGCACTTTGGTGCCTACCGTTATGTCCTTGAGTATCCTGCCTGATTTGGCTGTATTGTTTTTCAGTAGCTTTCATTTTTTAATAATAACTTCTATTGCATTCTGAGCTGGGTTGTTTTCTTGCAGACATTTCATTATTAGTTAACTTCATTCGTGCTAGTCAGCTAGTCAGCCTTAGAACTGATTATGTTGTTACCTAATTGGGTCATGAAACATCTGCAACAAACAACTCAGAAGCACCAAGGACCCCTCATTTCAACCCTGAGCTACAAATATTTTCTCTTTTACTGGAATTTTTGTTGCAACATAAAAATGCAAAGGTAAAAAATTAATCCAAACTAAGAAAAAAATAAAAAGTACAGAAAGAAAAAAGAGGGAAAGGAAAAGTCATATAAAGGGAAAAAAAGATATACGAAGAAATGACTTCCTCCTTCATCGAGAAAAGTACAAAGCAATTTCAGTAGCTTATCACCTTCTCTCACATTTATGCCCCAAAAATCTCTTCATCCCAGATTTTCAGTAGCTTTTAGTGGGGGGTAAATGTAGGAAACTAACGTCAGCCTTGCCACATTTTAAAAAGAATTTACAGTTGTGTTTTTGGAACCTACACAAGACTTTCTCATAAATAAAAATACTAGGTGACTGAAGGGCTGACATGTTAGCAGTGTTCCAATATTTGAAGGGCTGCCACAAAGATGAGGGGTCAGCCTATTCTCCAAAGCAACAGAAGGCAAGGCAAGGAACAATGGATGGAAAGTAGAGAAGCAACGTAGAACTAAGAAGATATTTAAACATTTCCTAACAGTGAAAACAATTAACCAAAACAATTAACCAACCTTGCCTTCAGAAGCTGTGGATGCTCCATCACTGGAGGCTTTTAAGAAGAGACTGGACAGCCATTTGTCTGGAATGATATAAGGTGTCCTGTTTGAGTTGGACTAGAAGACCTCAAAGGTCCCTTCCCACTCGATTATTCTGTTAGGTTTGCTGCTTCAATTGAAGGACCATACACAGAAAAAAGGTGGGTCAGGAAGACATCATTCCAGGGAGACAGAAGAGGTAGTTTGCTCTCAGATATTTTGAGACTGGACACATCCACCCTCTAACCTTCCTAGAAACAACTAGCTCTCCATCATGATAACCACGCCAAGAAAGCATTCTAAGCATGGTCTCCATTTAAGAGCACCCATTGGTATAGTTTTCCCCTTCTAGGGCTGCAACTCATGGCTCTTTGCCTCTTCCCAACCCAACATGTAAATAATGTGTGATGGCAGGTGATATAATGCCAGGTACCATAATGGCATCCCTGCAGACTTGGATTCAAGACTGATTTTATTGCTCTCAGCCAGATGCTGAAACTTCCAGGGCATCTGTATGGAAACTGATCCTGAGTCCATTGATGACTCTGAAACCTCTAGCTTTGAATTCCTGACATGATGAAAGTCTATTGCCATGGTTCCTTGTCAGTGATGTCCCGTACAGGTCAGCCTCCAAAGGGGCAACACGAAGTACCTTGTTGAGTTGGCCACTAGGGATGCCTATGTGTAGAGCTTCTCTAGAAAGCTCACAAGGACACTCTCTGCCCAAAGCACATGAGTGTTGGCCTGAGCTAATGGACAGGAGCAGGTTCTGCATGCACAAGATCCAAGTTTAGCTTCTAGCATGCCAGAGGTTAGATCAGTGTTTTTCAACCTTGGTAACTTGAAGGCGTGCAGACTGCAACTCCCAGAATCGGTTGGCTGGGGAATTCTGGACGTTGATGTCCACAGGTCTTCAAGCTGCCAAATTTGAGAAACACTAGGTTAGATGCTGTAAATATGTCCAGCCAATCAGAGTTATTCCCTCGTTTCCAACATACTGCATTAACAAACATACAGAGAGATTCGGCAAACTGAGTGAAGCTGGAATAAAAATCCTCTTGTTTCTTAATGACTGAAAGGGGTTCAGTGTTAGAGAGATTAACCAAGTTAAAGCAATTAGAGGCAAATCACAGAATCACAGGGCTGGAAGAGATCTTGGAGATCTTCTAGTCCAAATCCTGCCCAAGGCAGAAGATCTTGTAAAGAAATCTAGCTTAGCATGGAAGCAGCCCAAACAATGAATGGTAGATGATCAGTCAAAGGTATGTATCTTTTCTACTCATATGGATGAATTTCTAGTAGTCTAAATACCTTAACCCTTACGTATTTAAAGAAATAAGAAAGGAAGTATGTTAAGGACGAGGAGCACAAACCTTGCCAACATTAAACAAATTTATTTTCTTTCCGGTGACAAGATTTGAGCCATCTGGAATCAACTAATGACATTTACATACCAGGTCTCTCTACAGATATTTGATGAATAAATACACTGTTTAGCATATTAATTGCTTGGAATAGTAGGTTTTAAAATATATTGTGGGTTTTTGTCAACCTAGATGAGGGATGGACTGATTTCTTTCATCGCTGCAATTAATTACATTTTGTTGTGAAGCCTCTGTTGCTTCACAATACAAAACCTCTAGATGTTAGCATAACTTTTGGTCAATCATCTGCTCATCCTTATCTAATATCCAATAACTAAGAGGTTGTCACAAAGAAGAGGAGTCAAGCTATTCTCCAAAGCACCTGAAGGCAGGACAAGAAGCAACGGATGGAAAATAACCAAGGAGAGAAGCAATCTAGAAATAAGGCAAAATTTCCTGACAGTCAGAACAATTCATCAGTGGAACGCCTTGCCTTCAGAAGTTGTAGAAGCTTTTAAGAAGAGTCTGGATCACTAGTTGCTTGGAATGGCATAGGGTTCACTGCCTGAGCAGAGTATTGGACTAGAAGTCCTCCAAAGTCTCTTTTCAGCCCTCTGTTATTCTGTTGTCCTTTTATGTATAATCCAATTTTTTTTCGAACATTCCGATTTTCTTTCCAAGAGGATCAGGAATAGCCATTATTCTCTATTTAGCACTATTTTCAACGGTCCTTCCCACATTTTTCTCCATGATTTGGAATCATCCCATATGGAAGAACATTCTGGAAAAAGTCGTCCTACAACTTGCCAAATGAATGAATTGTTTGAAAAGTATAAATGTTTCTAAGGAAAAGTTCTCAGCAGCCGCCATCTCTAGCTCTTTCTTGGAAGTCATCGGTATGAACAACCTTTATTGTGAGAAACTGAGCTATTATGGGATTATGTTGCCAGAATTATTGTTAATATTTCAAATCCAAGAACAGGTGTATAATTGGTGCACTCCTCAGCCTGCTTTTGGTCTAATTTAAAAGGCCACTTTCAAGAAAGCAATTTTCTCTACGAGTGAAATAAGGAACAATTTGTTTAAGCTTTCTGCATGGAGAGAAGGAGAGAGACAAGGAGAAACATCTAAAGAGAGAAAGAGGATGAGAGACAGAGCTAAAGAAATGTGCCAGAAACCAAGGGAGTAAAACAGAATAACAAAGTAGAAAAGGACCTTGGAGGACTTTTACAACAGGAGACCTCCACCACTCCAAACAAATGGCTGTCTAGTTTCTTCTTAAAAGGCTCCAGTGATGGAACACCCACAACTTCTGTTTCACTGGTTAATTGTTCTCACTGCTAGGAAGTTTCTCTTAATTTTAAGTGGCTTCTCTCCTTGATTAATCTCCATCCATTGTCTCTTGTCTTGCCTTCTGGTGCTTTGGAGAATAGGTTGACCCCCTTTTCCTTGTGTCAACTCCTTGGATATTGAAAGACTGCTATCATGTCACCTCTAGTCCTTCTTTTCACTAGACTAGACATACTCAATTCCCACAATTGCTGTTCATATGCTTCCATTTTGAAATGGGCTCCTGCCTTTGCTTAATTAAGTTTCACTAATTATGGCCATATTTTGCTAGTAGACCTACCCAACTTCAGTTCTTGAAGACTCTCAAAGTCTTGAGTGGACCCTCAAAGTTGTTCTGGATGGTCGTACTGAACTGTAAACTTGAATGGAAATTAATCATGTCAATGGTATGCAGTGAAGGAGATTTAATTCAAGAGTAAATGAAGAGAAGCCAAATTATAATGTAAACCATTATGGGACTGAATTAGCAATAATGAATAAAATTCAAGCAATGAATGAAGTTGGTGTTTCTTTCCACCAAGATTGACTCAATCCACCTTGTGAATGGTTGAACACTCTGATCTCCTGGGGAGATCTAGGCTGTCCTGGAAATCATCCTGATCTTCAAAACAGCCTCTAAAACCAAGACTCTAAATGTTTTGGGTATCTCCAGCCATCCAGATTATTTCCAATGGTATGTAGACCTCTAGAGGACAAAAAGTTTTTAGCTTGTAGAACTTCCGTAGTTGACGAATGGTCAACATTCTGTTGTGCTGTTCTAGCAGGAAATTGGGAGCAGAAAAGGTTTTCCAAAATAGCTCAACTTCTCCTTGCAGATAAGAACCTTTGAGAAGATCAAGGCAGGAAATTGTGCCTTATCAGATGAGAAATAATACACAGAGACCTAAAAGAGATCAGGGCGTACTTTGTTTTTTCCCATGGCGATGTTTGCTTCCCTTTCAAACATAAACAGGATTCGACTCTTCCCATTGCTGATATCCTGTGGTATAAACATGCTTGTGTCCTCTTTCTCAAGCAGAGTGTGCAACGACCAATGAGTGCAAGGCCCTGATGTCGGAACTGAAGATCCTGATCCACATTGGACATCATCTAAATGTGGTCAACCTACTGGGGGCTTGTACCAAGCCTGGAGGTGAGTGTTAGCTCATTCCTTGGTTCTGTCACTTGAAACAAAACCCCAAACTTTCATATTATTTTTATTGATTTTTATTTCTATCCTGCCTTTATTTTTACAAATAAGTCAGTGAATGTATCCAAAGCACCTTCCTCCTACAATTTTCCCCCCAACTGTGGGTTGGGTTGGGCTGAGAATCAGAACCAGAATCACAATAGAGTTGGAAGGGACCTTGAAGTTCTTCTAGTCCAACCCCCTGTTCAAGCAGGATACCCAATACCATTTCAGACAAATGGCTGTCCAGTCTCTTCGTAAAGTCCTCCAGTGATGAAGCACCCATAACTTCTTGTGGCAAGCTGTTCCACTGGTTAATTGTCCTCACTGTTAAGAGGTTTCTCTTTAATTCCAGGTTGCTTTTCTCCTTGATTCGTTTCCATCCATTATTTCTTGTCCTGCCTTCTGGAAAATAAGTGTCAGCAGTCCAAATAACAAAAACAGAACTCCAAGGCAGGTAAATTCCTCAAAGAACATGTTTATTGGATACATCATATCAGTACAGCTAGTGAAAACCAACTCTAAAACTTCCCACAGTTTTCCCCCTAATCAAAAGAGTAAATATTTCCCTTCCCAGATATCACCAGTCATATTGTCAATGAAGGTAGCTGTCAGACTGATTGGCCACTCTTCTCCTCCTTCAACTGTCACTTGTTGGGATGACCTTGGTTCCCACAAGAAAACTTTTTGTTTTGACTGTCAGCCAGTCTATCTACTTTCCCCTCTTTTTCCCCTCTCAGGGTTTGTGGCAATTATGAGGCAGCAAAGCCACCTTCACTTCAGAGCTGATCATAAGTTGACCCCCCTCTTCTTTATGGCAACCTCTCAAATACTGGAATATTGCTATCATTATTGCCTTCTAATCCCCTTTTTCTCAAGACTAGCCAAACCCAATTTCTGCAAATGACTAATGCAGGACTTAGAAATCAGTCCACAAACCTGTACTGAAAGGAGGATTCTCCCGATAGGTGATGAATTAAACAACATTAAGGTGGGGTCCTGCACATACATACCAACCTTTCTGTCAGAGAAGCCCATAAAAAGGCAGCCCCCGCTGTTTATAAAGCATTCATAAAGTATTTATGAGGCCCATTGTACCTGAATGAATATATCTCACAATGCAGCCAAGATCTAGCTGAATAGGTATTGCTGCAGAGAAAGAGGCGTAGGACAATTGCATTCTATACAGCAGATTTTTTGAAACGCAATTTCTTTAAATACATAGCAACTTTCATAAATAGACCAAACTGGGATCCCCACAGTTAGACTAGAACGGAGGTGTGTAATAATAATACTTCTTTTTCTTCCCAATATGATTTTCCTGTTGAAAATGATAGAGTTAAGACAACTGCGGCAGGCAATGGCATTGTGGGGGTGGAAGTAAGCAGGAGAAATGTCCCAAGTTGGAGGGCTGATTTGTTTTTCCAACAGTGTTTTTTCTTGGGAGGGGGAGTTCCTCGAATTACCCTCTATCAAGAAAAGGAGTCGTGGATTGTATGCATAGCTATAATTGATCCCTTTGTCTTGTTCAAAGCTGGTAACTCTAGAAGAGAAGAAAGGTAGGGCATAGAACGTAGAGTCATAGGACCGGAAGGGACTTTGGAGGTCTTCTAGCCCAACCCATGGCTCATGCAAGAGATATTCCACACAAACAGCTCTCCAGTCTCTTCTTAAAGACTTCCATTGTTGGAGCACCCACCACTTGTGCAGGCAAGCCTTTCCACTGATTAATTGTTCTCACTCTCAGAAAATTTCTCAGAAAGAAAGAAAGAAAGAAAGAAAGAAAGAAAGAAAGAAAGAGAGGGAGAGAGGGAGGGGGGAGGGAGGAAGGGAGGGAGGGAGGGGAGGACCACAAATCCTGGCACTAGACATAGCTTTAGAAGATGCTTTGAAACAGCACTGCAATCCAGGGCTAGAAGGGACCTTGGAGGTCACCTAGTCCAACCCCCTGCTCCAAGAGGGGATTCTCTCTTTTAACCCACCCAGTCACACGCCCTCCAAGCCATGCCCTCCAGGCCACATCAACAGAACTGGTAGTACAATTTTTGTGAATCCCACCCCTGGTTTATCCTCCAGACCCCTCTTCCTCTTGGTTGCTCTTCTCTGCACACCAAGATACGATAAGACATGGAACCAAGACACTTTATTTTGAGAAACCTCAGCTGAAACTCCTGGGGGAGGTGTTTCCAAAATCTCTCCTTTCTCCTGCTTCTTGCCATCACAAACAAGAATCCTTTGGGGCATTCCCAAAACCTCTGCAGGGTATGTTTAATTAAAGTCATGATGTTGTTCTCACAGTGAGTTTCATTCAGAAGATTTAGAATGGAAGAAAATTACTTAATGGTCATGCACAACAATTAGAAGAGCAGGAAAATATTTTGATTGGCCAAAATAGGAGAAAGTAAGCCCTGAAGATTAGTACGAAATGCAGTTCTACTAAAATCACTACATTAGGAAACAATTGGCATTCAGTTTTATATAAGTTACATTCAAAAACCAAAATAGGGTAAATGCAAGGGAGGAAATGGAGTGAACCAAAGAAATAAGAATCAAAACATGAGGTAGTTAAGGTAAGCAAGGGTTTTTCCATGCCTTGGGCTGCACTTGGCTTATGCAATGCAAGATGCATTCTGCAAGAGTCAATAGGAAAGGAACAAAAGGGAGATTTAATGGTTATGGGGAAATGATTCTCCGGGCATTTAATCATTTCCCTTCCTATCACATTTTAAATTCCAATTTGGCCACAGACTTTGCAGGTTCAGGGTTCATGTGCAGCCTTAGGGCTCAGGCCACACACCTCGGATGTCCATGATAATGGACAACTTGCTAGTGGCAAAAAAACAAACAAACAAACAAAAAAAATCACATAATTTAAGGAAGTTGAGTTTTTTTTTTCTCCTATAAGAAGAAAACTTTGTGACAGGTGGGCTGTTAGCAGTCTTCCAATATCTCAGGGCCTGCCACAAAGAAGAGGGAGTCAAGCCAATCTCCAAAGCACCAGCGGACAGGAGAAGAAGCAATGGACATAAACTAATCAAGGAGAGAAGCAACCTAGAACTAAGGAGAAACTTCCTGACTGTGGGAACAATTAACCAGTGGAACGACTTGCCTTCAGGAGTTGTGGCTGCTCCATCACCGAAGGCTTTTCAGAAGAGACTGGACAGTCTCTTGTCTGGAATGGTCTTGGGCCTCCTGATTGAGCAGGGGGTTGGATTAGAAGACCTCCAAAGCCCCTTCCAGCTCTACTATGATCGATCCATTCCCATACAACTACAGGGTGACTCCAGATTCCCCTTTGCAATATTGATTGGATAGGATACAGAGAGGATATCATAGGAAAAAAACAATTTGCTGGGATTTGGGCATTGCACGAATTTAGTAAATAAATAGTTAACTCTGCAGTTGAACAATCATTTTGAAGAGATGGACATGACCATGTTAGTTTGTTGGCAACCCTACGGACAGGATTTGCCATCAACCTCCTTTGGACCTCCTAACCTAAGGCACGTAGGAGGATTTCCTGGCTGCTACCTGCTGTCATTTCTTTCATTTTCATATAGTTAATGACAGCTATAATTTGAGGATTGAATTTAGTATAGAGCTTGAGGCATTGGGCTAGAAACCAGGAGACTCCGTGCTTTTTCCTCTCTTAGATACAAAGCCAGTTGGGGGACATGGCTCCAGTCAGTTTCTCTCAACCCTAAGAAGGAGACAATAGAAAGTCTCCTCTGAAAACTTGGCAAGAAAACATCAGGAATCAAGACTGACTTGAAAACACCCAAAAAGGACATTTCAGTTTTGGTGATAGGGCAAGGATGGGGAGATTCTTAGCCCTGATGACCCCATTCTAGAAGTTTATTTTACCATTAGAATAGAGGTGACTCACTTTGCTTGCTTTCTATAGAGGAAAAACCGTCTCCCTCAAAAAGGATTGTGGGGCAGATAGTAAACCTGGGTTGCCTTTGTGACTCTAGTTGCATTTGCATTGATTTATTATGTAAACCAGCCTGAGTCACAATGTTCCGAGGCAGAACAGAAATAAATAAATGAAAGAAGGAATACATGTCGTTAGCTTTGATCTTGGCATCACCAAGGGCTCATTTCTGGATCTCTGCTGACCGCTGTTGAAAAAGCAAGTTCTTATCGAGAGGAGAAGAGAGAAATTATATTTATATCTCAGTTGCTTCCCAAGAGCTCAGCATGCTCCTTTCCTTCCTTCATTCATTTTACCGTCACCATATTCCTACATAATAAGTTGAGGTGTGAGAAGTGACTAGCCCAAAGTCAGAGCTAAGTTGCCCAAGTTCCAACATTCAGAGCCAGGATGGACAATATTTTTAACACTTTGACAAGTCAAGAGCAATTAAAAAGGGAACTAAAACAGAAACCAAAATAGATTATATTCATTTGATATCATTCTCTACATATTTAATGAATTGCTCTTTCCATCACAAATAAGCAAACAGCTTGACCACAGCTGAAGGTTGGTGCTGGATTCAAAGTGTCTGGGAGCAGATTTCATCTTTGGCAATAGCATCTGAGGGGGGAAAGTCAGCATCATCACACACCTTCATCCTTGGAGCTTGGTTGTTTTCATGCATATGTTTCATTACCCTAATTAGGCAATATCATCAGTGCTAGTAAGGAATGGGATTTGCACTGATGCTATTACCTAATGTAGGAAATGAAATGTCTGCAAGAAAATAGCTTTGCTCAAAAAGCACCAAAGATCTCACAAATCTTCTCCTTCTCCTTCTTTTCCTTCTCTCCTTCTCATCCATTCTGCAAACTCCACTCCCTTCTAGCACTGATGATGTTACCTAACTTGGGTAATGAAATCCCTGCAAGAAAACAGTCAAGCTTAGAGATCACCAAGGACCCGTTTCAACCGTGAACTATAAATATTCGCCATTGTGCCAGTTCAATGCAAGCATCAATCCTTCTGTATGCGCGTTGTGATGTTGCAGGTGTGCCCCAATGAGGCTTGTTCTTTTTGACCACCTCATTGACCACCTCATTTCAAGAACCCATGATCCTTAACTAGGGCATCTTTCTACATAACATTCCATTGTTGGAACCAAGATGATTGGGGACTGGAGGCTAAAACATACAATGAATGGTTGCAGGAACTGGGCTTGGCTAGTCTAGGGAAGAGAAGGACCAGGGGAGATATGAGAGCAATCAATATTGGAGGGTCTGCCACAGGGAGGAGGAAGGGGGTCAAGCTATTTTCCAAAGCACCTGAAGGCCAGATAAGGAATAATGGATGGAAACTGATCAAGGAGAGCTTCAGCCTAGAAATAAGGAGAAATATTCTGATAGTGTTGATTCTTCAGATTTACCCAGCATCGTCCGTAATGGCTGAAGCTAAACAGCTCTCCTATCTGGGCCAAGTTCTAACGTTAGTCTCTTGATTAATGGAAACGATGATGTCTTTGATGGCAACTAATGGTGCTGATTAATCGTGTAACTGCTGTTCGTGGGGCAAGGAGGCATGTTCAGAAGGAGGGAGAGACAAACTGTAAGACCTTTGATCGCTAATAGGGAGAGCAGGGAGGGGTGTAACATCTGCACAAACACCCATCAGCAAGTAAAAACTGCCATTCAACAGAAATTATGGCCAGTAGCCAGTGTGTGTTTCTCACTTCCTGGCCGCAGTTTTCTGATCTTGGATTCGTTCTTCTTTTATCCATTGCCCATTTCCTTCTGTGTTTGCAAGAGAGATGTTTACTAGCTTTTGCTTATCCCTATGATGTTCCCATGTGTTATCATTTCGTAAACGTTGCTTTGATCCTGTCTGCAGGTCCTCTGATGGTCATTGTAGAATATTGCAAGTATGGAAACCTCTCTAATTACCTGCGGGGAAAGCGAGGTGATTTCATTGTATGCAAGGTAAGATACCTGCCCCAGTTTCTTGATCTTTTAAAAACTTCAGGCGGAGAGAAGCTTCATGGATTGGGTTTGAGTAAATTTATTTATTTGTAAAAACTTTTGGTCACCCCTCTTACCTCAAGGTAACTCTGGGCGGCTCACAATCGTGAAAGATAAACACTATAGGTAGTCCTCAACTTACAACAGTTCATATAGTGACCGTTCAAAGTTACAACAGCACTGAAAAAAAGTGACTTATGACCATTTTTCACATTTATGACCATTGCAGCATCCCCTTGGTCATGCGATTTACATTCAGATGCTTGACAATTCACATTTATGACAATTGCAGTGTCCCAAGATCCTACGATCCCCTTTTGTGATCTTCTGACAAGCAAAGTCAACAGCAATCGCTCTTAGCACTTAGACTTATATACCGCTTTATAGTGCTTCACTCTAAGTGGTTTACAGAGTCGGCCTCTTGCCCCCAACAATCTGGGTCCTCATTTTACCCACCTCAGAAGGATGGAAGCCTCAGTTAACTCTGAGCTGGTTAAGATTGAACTGCTGACAGTGGGCAGAGTTAGTCTGCAATACTACATTCTAACCACTGTGCACCATGGATGGATGGGTGGAGGGAAAGAGGGAGGGAGGGAGGGAGGGAGGAAGAAAAGGAAGAGCAATAGCAATAGCCCTTATATACTGCTTTACAGTGCTTTTACTGCCCTCTCTAAGTGTTTTACAAAGTCAGCATGTTGCCCCAAGCAATTTGGGTCCTCATTTGACCAACCTCAGAATGAGGGAAGGCTGAGTCAACTTTGAGCCTGGTGAGATTTGAAGTGCCAAGTTGCAGGCAGCTGGCAGTCAGCAAAAGTAGCCTGCAGTATTGCACTCTAACCACTGCACCACAGTGGGTCAATGGGGAAACTAAATTCACTTAACAGCCGTGTTACTAATTTAAGAACTGCAGTGATTCACTTAACAAATGTGGTGAGAAAAGCAGTAAAATGAGGCAAATCTCACTTAGAAAATTTCTCACTTAACATAAATTTAGGGCTCAATTGTGGTTTAAATTGAGGATTACCTGTACATAAACTAAAAACATAAATAAGTTAGTACCAAAAGTCAAACACTTTGGGGCAGAAGTGGGATTTGGGATCTGATGTTAATCGATCAACATGTAGGAGATGACTGGGCTGAGCCCGAGGGAGGGTTCAAACATGCCATGAGTCTTGAGTCCCTTCTTGACCATGAGAACTCACCTTGAATTCCCTTGATTCTTATCTACTGTTGATTTTCACGGGCTGTTAGTAGTTCAGATTCTTTTAGAGACCTTAAGTTTGCAATACATTTTTATACCCATTTGAGCTGATTTCCCTGGCACTTGACACAACCATCCCCATTGTGATGCTTCCCCATTGGAGCCCCAATCTAACTGGCAGAGCCTGGTCTTTAGGCTCTTATGCAAAGTTATGAGGGTCAGCATCAACCTCACACTGGGGAGTGCGAGATGTTCTGTAGGGCAGGCGCAAAGGGACAGACACATCCACGAACACCAACTGGCAGTCAGAAAGTATGACGAAAATTCTTTGATTTCACAGCACAGGGACAGATTTAACCCTAGTTTCAATTGGGAAAATGGGACCCTCCTAGACCAGGCCAAGTCCAAAAATGCCAGGGAATTTCTAGAAGCCTGGCACTCTGACAAATCAGCTGCCAATAGACACAGAGACATTAACAACCTCTATAGACTGTAAAAAACAGACAATCAACCAGCCCAAAAGAGAAAAAAAGGACCCCAGCACCTCCCACTAGGAATCAGCACCCAGATCAGCACAGATTAACTCCACTGTCAACTTCACAGGACCATCAAGTAAGCAACACCCCAACTAACAAAAACTGCCGAAGAGCCATCAGTAAACAGCCTAACCAAAGAATCCCAAAATCTTCCCCCTCCCACACAGACTGGCAAGACACCAGAATAGAAACAAACAGCACTCCTTCCTTGCACTGATGATGCTGGGTAATGAAACGTTTGCAAGAAAACACGCAAGCTCAGAAGAGCAGCAAGGGAGAGAAGGAATCCACCAGCTGGAATAATTGGGCTGATGGATCCCAGAGGAAGCATGCTCTATAGCCTGGACCGATGCCACAAAGGGCTTTAAAGGAGATCACGAACACCCTGAATTGCACCCAGAAACAGACTGGCAACCAATGCATCTCATAGAACCAGGGGTGTTACAGGGGCCAAAGCTAACCATGTATGTCATTTTTTAGACACTAGGAAGACTTTTACTCAAAATGGAAAATTAATCATTGTTTTTATATTGCCCTCATGCCTAATTAAGTTGTAGCTAACAAATGAAAACATTCCTATCAACTGAAATGGATAGTGTAGTTTCAAGATAGGGTGCTAGCTTGATTTATGAGCCATAAGCAAACCATGATTCACTTAAATGGAAGTAGCATGTTATGCAAAAACAACCACTCTCTTTTGTAAACCCAAGTCTCCTCTTTAGCATGTTGTTTGAACCTGGCCAAAGAATAATAACGGGCTCCTTTAAGAGTTCTTTTTCTTCTCTAGCCACCAGAAAATCCAGACTGCTCAGAGAAAGGATTGAAAGACTCTATCAGTGACTTAACAGAGCTAATTAAGAGGCGCCTGGAAAGTGTGGCCAGCACAGGTAGCTCTGCCAGCTCTGGATTCATTGAAGACAAGAGTTACACAGATTCCGATTCAGAAGAAGAAGGTCAGTGAACATCTACTGGTTCATCGAACATAGAATAATAACATTGGAAGGGATGGATCTTGGAGGTCCAGTCCCACCCTGGAGCAGGAGGCCTTATCAATTGTCCAGTCTCTTCTTAAAAGCCTCCAGTAGTGGGAGAACCACAACTTCTGGAGGCCAGCCATTCCACTGGTTAATTGTTCTCACTGTTCGAAAGCTTCTCCTAAAATATTGGATTGTGCTGAAATGAGTAAATTGACATTTGAAATCAGAGAACAAGAAGATAAACAATTTTATGAAGTTTGGGATCTTTTTTATCAATGGTTAGATAATAAAACATAATAATAGAACATTTAGATTTAGGATATATATATTTTTTATATTATCTTTATAAAACTTTATTAAGTTAGATTTGGTATGATCTTATGATTTATTGCAAAATAAATTAAGTAAATTATAGTTATCTCATTAAAGTATGAGAATAAAATTATAGATAAACAATTTCTTAGTGATGATATTGGGTTATACAATTATTGATTGATAATATGAGTTATTATGTAATATAATTATATTAGCGTTTAGGAAATGGATGCACAAAAAAAAAAAGTGATAAACCAACCGATACACTGTTTGTAAATTTATGAAGAAGGATTATGTTTTTAAGTTTTATGTTGTATGTCTTATGTTGTCTTGTTTGTTGTTAAAATAAAAAACTTTTTTTTTAAAAAAAGAAAGCTTCTCCTTAGTTCTAGGTTGGTTCTCTCCTTGATTAGTTTCCATCCATTGTTTCTAGTCTTGCCTTCTGATGCTTTAGAAAATAGTTGGACCCCCTTGTCTTTCTAGAAGTCCTTCAAATATTGGAAGATTGCTATTATGTCAGCCCTTGTTAGCCCTTATTTTCATTAGATTAGTCATATCCAATTCTTGTAACTGTTGTTCATATGTTTTAGCCTCCAGCCCCCTAATCATCTCTGTTGCTCTTCTCTTCGCTCTTTCCCATTTCCAGAAAGTTTGCCCAGTTTCTGGTCTCTTTGGATTTCCAGTTTCCCCCTTCTGGTCTACACCAGAAAGGGGAAAATCCACCTGCAAATACAGTTTGGGGGAAATTAAAAACCTCCCTTTTAGCAATGTTCTTAGCAAAGGTTGGCCTTCTGATTTTGTAGCTTTTGATCTTGCTACCTTAGCCTGTTTGTGGACACACGCAATCATCCGGCTGGAAGGAACCTCAGTGCAGAACTCTGGCCATCCTATCTAGGTGAGCCTTCACTGTGAAAATACCCCTTTGCACCTCTGGCTCAGATCATCCCTTGCTTTCTCCTAGATGCGGAAGATCTTTATAAGCGACCTCTGACTTTGGAGGACTTGATTTGCTACAGCTTCCAGGTAGCTAAAGGAATGGAATTCCTGGCTTCAAGAAAAGTAAGTCTGGTTGCAAGAGGCGTCCAAAATTATGGCTGGATTCACATAACAGGTTAAATTGGTATTTTCCGAACATCACAAAATTCCAAGATGTATGGATCTCAACTCTCAATTCCACGCAACAGGAATGCTGACAAGAAGTCCAGGACTTTGAAATCTATACATCTTGAAAGATGCCAAGTTGAGAAACACTGTACCAGCCTAAACTAAAACGGGTTGGGACCTCATCTCAGTCACTACATTCATTTATTGGGATATTACATATCAATCCAGCCAGTCATCATCCAGAATCGTTTTGGACATGATCCTGGTTTTCCTCTTGTAATTTCTAGTGCTTTATCATCATGAGTAATCTTTTTTAAATGCCACCCAACATTTCAACAAAGCATCCGTAGAACTAATGGAGTTCTATTCTTTAGATTCAGACAAGAACTAATAAGTATTGGGAAAACATAATTGTATAACCATCAGGCGGAAGTAATGGAATGAGATTCAGAAGTTGTGACAACAATTTAATTAGCAAAATGCAATCCTGTTTTATATGGAAGTATCATAGGAGCCCTTGAAAGTGTGCATTGCTTGGAAAGGGGTGCTTCATAGGGGTTCAGAAATCAAGGAAGTTGATTTCAAAGTTACACAAAAAATAACACCCAAATGTAGGTAGGCCTGATCCTAACCAACTTGTTCCACAGTATCCAACCAACCCATTAAGAGTCAATGTATTCCACAATTAAATCTGGAATGTTTCATACATAGAGCACGTGATATTCCACAAACTCATTGTCAAAATTTGACAATGACCTGATGGTCCTCCTGAAGTTCTCTAAGATGTCATAAGATACTGGAGAACTTTAAACTGCAGAAACATCCAGGGACATCCAGGGAGGTGGAGACTAAAAGGTCAAGATGATATCCAAGTGTCAGGTGGTACATGACAGTTTTATCTCTGGCACCCATGAAAAAATGACCAGGGCTCCAATTGAACAGTCAGAGACACCCTATTCAGGTTTTTTAGACCATCACCCCACACAAGAAATCTTCTTAGTGATGAAAGTCATATTTTTTTCCTGATTTCCTTTTGTTTCTTGTTTCATTCCAGTGCATTCATAGAGATTTGGCAGCCAGGAACATTCTTCTTTCTCAAAACAACGTGGTGAAGATTTGTGATTTTGGATTGGCCAGAGATATATACAAAGATCCTGATTATGTGCGGAAAGGAGATGTAAGTATGGGGCTGGGTGCCGTAAAATCCTTTTCCCAGTTGTGCCCTTTATGCGGTGGAACATGGTCTGGATTCCCAGGAGGGAGGGGCTGATTTCCATGGAACAAAGAGGCAGAGGAGCCTGGAAATTTTGATCATCAGGAAGAGGTTTGAAATGGTTCCTCTCTAGCAACTCTAGAGCGTAGTTATGCAGATAGTTGCTTTAGTCTGGCAAGAGTCTGTCTATAGGTGGAGAACACTAAGGGAAACTACTCAGAAATAATAACTCCCTGTGTCGTTCTTGATTCTTCGACCCTGACATCTGACCTCCTTTTGACAGCATTAATCACAAATGTCATTCATCCCTGCTCCCCACCTCCCTCGTCCCTGGGATATTGAATAGGGTACGCATGCTTTGATCGATGTATTTAATATCCAATTAAAATTGGTAACACAACTAGGTCTTCTTTCCTAACCACAAGGATACCACCTAAAATGGCACGATGTGCATCCCACAGCATTGCAACATAAGCTCCACCTTTTTTTACTTGCATCACAATGTCACAAGCAAGTACAAAAGTCTGCACTGTAACACACCACAATGGACACTGGCCCATCTTGGATACACACAGCAACCTTGTCCTTCTTTCCTTTCCCAGGCCAGGCTGCCCCTGAAATGGATGGCTCCAGAAGCAATTTTTGACAAAATCTACACAACTCAGAGTGATGTCTGGTCCTTCGGCGTGCTGCTTTGGGAAATATTTTCCCTAGGTAAGATTGTTTTTTCCTTGCTTGGATTTTAAGTAGAAGAAGTACTTGCACTTAATATCATAAAAGGCTATCTGAGGGGGACATTTGCTGCTGGAAATTAACCAGACCAAACGACAAAAGAAGGCCCATATGCATGTCCCAGGATAATGTTGCAGGATCCAATCTGGGTCAGTCATATGTTTCGTCTTCCGAGCTTTCAGCCCATCCTCAGGGAACTTCTCTCTAGCAGAAGACATGTGCTCTGAGCTATTCCGTGCGTAGTATTTATGCGGTGCCTGGTTTTGTATGTGGCTTTTCAGTTGTTGATTGGGGTGTTGATGGCCGATTATTAAGTCGCTGGCTCTTGTTTCCTTGTGCTGTCAAGTCCTCAGCTCAGAATAGCCCAAAGCAGACATTCTGGTGAGAGAGAGGGGTTCCCTGGGGATGGGCTCCAGCACAAGTCCGAAAGCTCAGAAGGCTAATCCGACCCAGATTGGATCCTAAACCACATTTATTTGGAGGGGAACCTTTTCTAGAAGGAAGGCATTTTTCCCTTAAAAGAGCAACAAAATCTGTGTTGCAGCCAATCTGCTGTCAACAGCCTGTTTCATTCATTCATTCCTGATCTGGAGCACTGGATGAGGGTGAACTGCTGTGGACACCCCACCCATTACAATTCCCATGTGGGCTGGTGCTGGACTAGCAGCAGAGAAACCTAAGTTGAGTCCGGCCTCAGCTATGGAGCTGACTTGGGGTCGGGGGTAATCTTTTAACCAAAGAATTGTTATTTATTTATGAAATGTATAAACCACTTCAGGCAAAGGGCCCTGATTACTGTACAGGGAACCATAGCAGCACAACCGATGCAAAACAGTGCAGTCAAAGACAATTAAACTGAGACGCAGGCTCGCAATAACTATTACTTCTGGCACCAAGAGTTTTGCAGCAATCAAAGTTTAAGACTGTCTGGAACTGGTTGATAAAATCTTCAAAGGCTGCAAGGGTGGGCGTGGCCAAGGAGGTAAAAGGTGGATGTCTCCCTGGAAAAAGGACACGATTCTAATACAGGTAGTTCCCCAAGGTGCCTTTTAAAAAAGCAACTGGGTTTTCTTTGTTTTTGCTTGAAGGCGTTTCACTTCTCATTCAAGAAGTGTCTTCAGTTCTGACTGAATGGTGGAGAATGGAAGGACAAATCCTTCCATTTTCCACCATTCAGTCAGAACTGAAGACGCTTCTTGAATGAGAAGCGAAACATCTTCAAAACAACAACAACAATAAAAAGTGTTTTGGGGGACAAACGCAAAAAACCTTTTGGACAACCAAGACCTGGATGACAGACTCTTCATTAGATATCTAATACAGGTAGTCCTTGACTTACGACTGTTTGCTTAGCAACTCTTCAATTTATGATGGATCTCCCCAGGAGCACTTACAACCCCATTCCAAAGTTTTGAGGGTTGCCCCTCCTCCCCACACTTATGACCCCGTTTTGTGTGCTTAGCAAGCAGCTCGCATTTAGCAATAGCAATAGCATTTGGACTTATATACCGCTTCATAGAGCTTTACAGCCCTCTCTAAGGGATCTACAGAGTCGGCCTCTTGCCCCCCCCGCCAACAATCTGGGTCCTCATTTTACCCACCTTGGAAGGATGGAAGGCTGAGTCGATCTTGAGCTGGTCAGGATGGAATTCCTGGCTGTGGGCAGAGTCAGACTGCAATATTGCATTCTAACAGGCAGGGAGGGAGGGAGGGAGGGAGGGAGGAAAGGAAGGAAGGAAGGAAGGAAGGAAGGAAGGAAGGAAGGAAAGAAGGAAAGAAAATGGCAATAGCGCTTAGATTTATATACTATTTGAAAGAGCTTTCACAGCCCTCTCTAAGCAGTTTACAGAGTCAGACTGTTGCCCCCAACAACATTTCACCCACCTCGGAAGGATGGAAGGCTGAGTCAACCTTGAGCAGGTCAGGATCGAACTCCTGGCAGTGGAAGGCAGAGTTGGCCTTCAATGCTGCATTCTAACCAATGCACTACTACAGCTTGTTTACAGCCATTCGTTGCGTCCCATGGTCACATGACTGCATTTTACAATATTTTTTGCCAGAAACTAGCATTTAGTTCCAATTTCCAGTAAAGTGAACCCACAGAGAACAATTGGTTGACTTAATGACCATCACAAAAAAGGTGATCAATTCAGTTCTGTCATCTGCTTGACAACTGCCACAACTTATGACCATAATGGGCAATCTCCATTACAGTCTTAACTTGAGGACCGCCTGCAAATAAATGAAGTTTAGAACAGCAATTGTAGGGAATTCCTCTGCCCTAGGACTAAACCTGGCATGGACATTTTCATCAACGTCTCCAAGAGACGTTTTTCCTGTCAGCAACACTACGTAAGTTAGAAGTATACTATGTGAGAAAATGCAGCCGCCGCCCATCCTGTTGGCTGCTTACTTCAGAAGGCGTTTCCCAGACCTACCTTTTAGCATGAGATGGAAAGTCTAGTAACACCCTGAGCACCGACTCCTGAGTTGGATGAACCGACATTCTGGCCAAGGTCAAGAGTTGCCTGGCTGGACTCTCAGAGGTTCCCTCTTGATTCTTGGCTCGGGGATTCTGGGAGTTGAAGTGTGCAGGGTTGTCAAGGGGGCGCAGCTGTCTGCCCTCTCCTAATTCACGGCTTGCCATGGATCTCAGCCCCAAAGATTTTTCTCCTGTAGAAAGACGGAGGGAAGCAGGAGAGAAGACTCTGCCTTATTCTGCATTAGGCTAATTTTTCTGGCATCATCTCTCCCCCGACATTTCTCCCCAAAATGCTGACCCTCTGAAAAACGAAACACCAACAAGACCACCTACTAGCTGATGCTCTCGCTACGGAAAATAGGAATCCAGGCCAAGCTCTGCATGTCCTTTTGGCAGGACAGAGATCAAAGAAGGGGAGGGAGAAGACATGCAAGCCACTGAACTTGAAATGGGATTTTTTTGTCACATTGGTGGGCAGTTTTAAGTAGCCAGACCCTCATAAAAGGTGAAAGTTTTTGTGATGATTTAAAAAAGGAAAAAGAAATTGAAAACCATAACAGTCACTTTAGTCCCTGGAGGTTTTCTTAAACCAGTCTTTACAGCTGTAGTTGTGGGACTACCTGATCTGAGCTGCAAGTGTCCAGTACTGACAGGATAGCAGTGTTCCAATATTTGAGGGGCCACCACAAAAAAGACGGGGTCAACCTATTCTCCAAAGCACCACGAGGTAAGACAAGAAGCAATGGATGGTGACTAATCAAGGAGAGAAGCAACTTAGAAACTAAGGAGAAATATCCCAATGGAGAGAAAAATTAACCGGTGGGAGAGCTTGCCTTCAGAAGTTGTGGGGGCTCCATCACTGGAGGCTTTTAAGAAGAGACTGGACAGCCACTTGTCTGGAATGGTCTAGGGTCTCCTGTTTGAGCAGTGGGGTGGACTTGAAGACCTCCAAGGTCCCTTCCAAGTCTGTTATTCTGTTAAGATGACCGCAAAGAGGTTGAGCTTTTTGAATCCAGAATTTTGCATCCCATCAATTTCAAAGCCACTTTTGTGGCTCTAGTATTGATGAGGACTTGGAGGACACCATTTGGTTTGGGGTCAAGGAGGATTCTCATGCTGATCATGCGTGCTGGTAACCAACTGGTGACCATCAAGCAATGAAACCCAGGTGCAGGCTGACCTGCCTTCCCAGAACATTGGGATTAGAGATGTGCAGGAGGAGAAATCCCAGAATCGAATGGCTGGGCGTTACTTCTATAGCAGTTCACATTTGAAAGCAGTTATTTGCCAGAATTCTTGTATTTTCCTTTCAACCCTTTCTTCCCTCAGAGTTCTGTAAAAAAAAAAAAAAATCTTTGGCTCTTCTTCTCACTTTTTAATAATTCATGGAAATTTTTGACATAATAAGAACTAATCTAAACTAAAATAGAATAGAGGAAAAAAAAAAAAGGAAAAGGAAAGAAAAAACTAGTGCAATAAGGAAAAAATAGAAGGAAGTAGGAAAAAAGAGATAGAAAGCTATAAAGAAGTAGCTTCTGATATTCTTCACAGCAGTTAAAAGTACAATTATATTTTAACTGCTGTCTCTAATGTTTCATCCTGGCTCTCTTTTTTCTATAATACATCCTATCTAATCATCAAAATCATAAATCACAAATTAATATTAGTTTTATTTTTACTCCAAAAATCCCTAAGAGTTTTCCAAGCAGCAATAAATGTAGATATTGTCTTTGACGATTCTTCTCTAGACTGACGGTTGGTAAAGTGACCTGATTCTTCCCTCCTAGCCCACCGGGGCATCAGAAAAGTCTCCACCAATCCCCCTCCCCAAAAGTAAAGATGGCAGGTGTGATTGTACAATTGAAGTCCCGCCCCCTTTTACAAATTTGGTCCTAATAAAAAAAGGGCCAAAGCTTCAATAACAGAATAACAGAGTGGGAAGGGGCCTTGGAGGTCTTCTAGTCCAACCCACTGCTCCGCTCCAGACAAAGGGTTGTTCAGTCTCTTCTTTAAAACCTCCAGGATGGAGTACCTACAACTTCTGGAGATAAGGCCTTCCCCTGGTTAATTGTTCTCACTGTCTGGAAGTTTCTCCTTGGTTGCTTCTCTCCTCGACTAATTTCCATGTGTTGCTTCTTGTCCTGCCTTCAGGTGGCACCATCTTTACCCTTCCATTCCCCTCCCTGCAGACCACCCTTATTTAGCCTCCCCCCGAAGCAAGGTTGGGCAATTCAGGGAGTCCTGTTCACAAACATTTGCAAATATCTAGCAAGTCAGAGCAATGGATTTAATCCTTCAACAGACTGGAAGCAATGAAGGCCGTCTATTCCCATTCCCCATCCAATGTATTCACAGACCGGAGGTGATAATCATCTGGAAGGGAGTTTGATATACAAGTTTGGGCAGATTGGGGAAGGAAAGTAATAAATAAATATGAGGCTGGGCTTCCTGCCTCCCTCCGGGTCACAGTCTAAAAATAGGGGGAAAACACAGGAAGAAA